CAGACAAAACATTATTATCTAGAATATATAAAGAACTCAAAACAACCAGCCACTCCCAATATAAAGACCTGACTCAAAAATGGGCATCTGAAATAAACAGACATTTCTCAGACAAAGAAGTAAAAAAAGCAAGTAAATATATGAAAAAGTGCTCCACATCACTGGTAATTCAAGAGATGCAGATGAAAACAACACTGAGATTTCACCTCACCCCACAAAGAATGGCTGCTATCAAGAAATCAAACAATAACAAATGTTGGCAGAATTGTGGGGAGAAAGGAACCCTTCTCCATTGTTGGTGGGAGTGCATACTGGTGCAACCACTATGAAATCAATATGGAGATAGCTCAAAGAGCTGCAACTAGAGGTTCCATTTGACCCAGCCATCCCTCTGCTGGGTATCTTTCCAAAAGAATTGAAAGAATCATACCACAGTGATATATGCTTATATGCACACCTATGTTTATAGCGGCACAGTTTGTAATAGCTAAAACTTGGAAACAGCCCATTTGCCCATCAGTTAGAAACTGGATAAAGTAGATGTGGTTTTTCTATAGAATGGAATACTACTCAGTCATAAAGAATGAGAAATTAGATTCATTCATAGGAAAATGGATACATATTGAGGATATATTCTTAAGTGTAATAAATAAGTCACACATGTGTAAATACCGAATAGTTTCTCTGTACATAAGATCCTAATGAGATAATTGACAGTGTGAGATAGGAAGAAAAGAGCTAAAGGTGTAGGGAAAGTGGAAAGGTTAGGGGAAAGGTAATAAGGGAAAAGAAAAAAATATGAGAAAATGAAAAAATGGAAATAAAGTGTTTGTAAATGGGGAAGGTAGGAGGGGGTGAAGGGAGGGCAAGGACAAGGGGAAAAAATGAAAACCAAGACCTGTCATGTAAAGGTACAAGATCCCAATAATGAATGTAACTGTACTGTATACCTAAAATGTACCAATAAACGCAATTAAAAAAAAAAAGCATATGCATATCCTTTTAAGGTTATGGTGAGCTAATGGGAAAAAAGAGGACATTAGGGAAAGTGGATTGGTCAATGTGTTCAGGTCATTGTGAAGTGTTTGCTAATTGTTATTCCCCTGGGTTAGGCTCCTTGACCTCCCATAAAGAGTGGGAACTGATGCTAACTTACCTGGTGGTTGCATTCAAAAGAATGGATCTAGGTCCTGGCTCTAGGTCCTCCAGGCCCTGGGTTGTAAAACTTCTCAGAGTCTGGCAGGAGATTAATACTTGAAATGGATGAGAGTGTGAATTTACAATGGAAAGTTTTCTAAAGGAAATGCTGTAAGAGAAGCCTAGAGGACGCTTATCCAAAGTTTGCCTCACAAGCTCAAGGTCCTGAGTTTTACCGGTGGTACCAAAATAAATAAATAAATAGAGTTTAGCCAAACTTAGGTGAATGCTAAGGCCATCTGGGTTATGCGGGCCTTAAATCCAATCATAGGGTTCCTATATTCTTATAAAAGGTGCCTAAAAAGAGAAGACATACAGAGCCACAGAAAGAAAAGGCCATGTGAATACAGACTCAGAGGTATGAGCAAAGTATCCACAGTCAAGGAATTCCAAGGATTTCCAACAGCCATCAGAAGCTAAAAGAAAGACAAGGAATAGATTCTCCTCAAGAGCTTATGTAGGGAGTTACCCTCCCAGCATCTTCATTTAGGATTTTTGGCCTGCATAACCAGAAGAAAATCTATTTTTTTTAACATTTTCAGTTTAAATTAATTTTTTGAAGCAGCCATACAAACCTAACATGCTATCTTGCTGGAAGTGTTTCTCCACTTTCCATTTAACTTAAGAGATCAAAACTCTACATCTCATTTAGGGTTATCAAAATTGTTTCATCCACTTTTCCTATAATGAATAACACCTAAAAACAGCTAAAAGCCATGGCTTCCTCTTATGAATTCTACTGATAAATTGATGGTGATAAAGATATTATAGTTGAAACATGTTTAGTTTTATTGGTACTCATTGGGTACCACTTCTGCTCCTACTCAAAGTTCAGGCATCTGAGGGTGTCGAAGCACACTTAGGACAGGACACCACTCTAGGGGCATGCATATAATGGGCTACAGTTAAGAACGACTTAACATACTCAACCACACGTGCAGTATGGACAAGGTCATGCAGCAGGTGTTTTGTCTCTCCATGTCCTACTAAACTGATAGGGCACTACAACTGTTGTGAACTAAAGAACACTGTAAACTTTCAGTCACTGTTTTACTGAAGGAATAGAGACAAGCAGCTCTGGAACAAACACTCCAGCTCCACTGCCCTGATGCTGCCCTTACTCTGATGATCTGCTGTCTCAGTGTGTTGATCTTACTGAGGAATTAATCAACTCATCCACGAAGGACAATATGGACTAAACGGATTGCTCTCCTGCTTCCCTCCTGGACAGGCTCAGTCTTGACTGACAATACCTGATCTCTTTTTAATTTTTACAAGACCGGGATGATTATTTTTCTACTAAAGGTAAAGTAACACTAAGTGGCAAAGCCAGAATGTGCTTTGAGATCTAGCTGAGTAAAAAGATCATTCGTTGAGTACTACTCTCCTACTCTGCCGTAAAGGATAACTTGAAGTTTTTGTCGGAAAATGTATGCACTTTGCAACTATAATTTTAAGTAAAATAAATCAGACACACGAGCTTAAATATCATGTGGTTTCTCTTACAAGAGAAACCCAAAATATACATAAAAGCAAAATAAAAGATGGAAAATAGGAAATAGGGAGATAGATCTTTTTGAAAGGGGATCGAGAGATGGAAGGAGGGGACAGGGAGGAGATGGGATGGGGATGAAGAAAGAATGAAGATGCGTTCACAGGTACAGGTACCAACTCCCACACAGAATGCACGCATAGCGCGCCGCAAGCGTGTTCCAACCAAAAATTAAAATCAAACAAAGCCATGTACGGAACCATGTTTAAAAATACTTTTTTCAATTCATATCACTATTTACCTTTTTGTGTCTCAAGCTGTCAACATGCTTACATACTTTTAACCTTTAAATTATTTTAAGATTCCATCTTTACCTGTTTGCAGCATTTAGCATAATTCTTTGAGTATTAGACATGCCCGGATTGCATAGAATAAATAAATTAACCCAAGGGTCAGCCCTTGCATGTCTTCCAATTCCCAAACTTTCTAGGGTCACATTTTTGTTTAGTGTTTTAATAGTCCAGGGAGAGAAACCAAACCACTCCACTCACAATATTTCTGAAGATTATAGGTCGGGAGAGTGCTCTATTTTCTCTATCACTTCAGTTCTTTTTCTTTGAATTCCTGCTATTGACTCCACTCTGCAGATTTTCTCTGGAAGTTGCTATAATGTTGCTCTACTGGATACTACTTACAGGTGCCAGTGTTGTGTGATAGACTCTTAGCAATGGCTTGGAAAATAAAAGGGATTAAAGCATATTCTAGCTTCCATGCACTCATCAATAATTCAGCAAACATACATGCATTCATTGAGTATCTGGTGGCACTGTTTTTGGTACCAAAGAGAAGGTAAAAGTTCCCACGATCATGTGGCTCATGGTGTAGTCAGGAAAACATAAAACCCACACAAGCACATGACAAGTGTGAACTTGTAACTGGAATTATAACGAAGGAAAGGCCTAGGGCAGATTCAGAACTGTGGAAGTGGACTTGAACTGACAGCTGGAGGATAAATAGATATCGGCCAGTCCTCAAGCATATACGGAGCGGGAAGGAAAAGGACTTACAGAAAGATTGACAGTGTGTGCTAGCAAGCAGTCGTGAGGAAGAACAAGCTAGACTGTAGAAAGTTTTTTAAAAGGTCTGTGTATGGCCTGTGTGTCCAGACCAAACAGAGAGAGAAATCACTTTAGAGAAAACATGGTAAGCTATTTTTAAAAAATGCATTTCAGGGGTATAATCAAATATGATCTTATGGGGAAATACTGAGGCAGAATATTATAGAAAAACATGGCTCCAATATAGAATTAAGGATAAAGTAGGTAAGCAATTGTAGATACAGGGATCCCCAAAACAGACCTGGGTGCAAGTGATAGATGATGTTTAGGCTAGAGGAGGGGTGGTTAAGATAAAGAAGATTACAAGGATCTGATAAGCATTTGGCACAGTAACCTGGCGCTCTAAGGGGAGCATGGGGACGGGGTCATGAATGTAATAGCATAATTAACAGCTTGACAAACATTTAATGTTAAACTTTCTAGTCCAAAAGATCGATCAGACTTTTTTTGGATTTGGAAAATGTTCAGGGCCTGTCTCTCCTTGGGCTTTTCCCCAAGACTTTCTCTTTCAAAAGCCATCCTCTGCTGTACCTTGTTGCTTTACAAATTTCTGTACAGACACCATTTCTTCATAATAACTTTAATGACACAGTTATGTGGATGAATTGATGCTAAATCTCCTTTAGCTTGGGACCTAGCTTTAGCTAGGTTAGTTTAGGTTTAGTTAGCTCCTGCCAACAATTTCATCAAGCTGTCGCTAAACTACCCTTAGTATTATGAATACCTTTGAAAAGTATTGAATCTTGCGATTTTTTTTTAGCATATCTTAGATCAAACTCTTGGCCTCAGGTTTCCAGCAGAACTTCCAGATTTGTAGGGCTGTGTGTGGGGACAGGCACTCCAGACCCTCGTTCCACATCGTCAGCCTCACACTTCAACGAGCCTTTCGTACACTTAGCATCTAATTTGCTACTGATAAGCTTTTTACATCTGCTATGTGAAGAATCTCTTTTTATTATTTTTGAGTTTTCCCACTATATGTTGTACTCCACCCTTAAATATTTGTCATGGTAAATCAAGAGGGCGTACGGAAGCCACAAGCTAACACACGACAGTCTACACCAAGTAAGTACTTCATAATAACAATGTCGAAGGAAAATAATAATTTATGATTTATAAATATCTCTGCTTCTGGGAGAAAAAAGAAAGAATATGCATACCTGACTTTGGATTGTTCTTGTGCTCTTTTGAAGGGAACATCCTTCTCTCTCAGAACTTCCCACGTTTCCATATCCAGATTTCTTCACCAAAGCTGATAAAGAACTGGCTAAAATTATTGACCACCATGTAAGAATAACTTTCATTTTTACTCACAACTGAACAGCGAAGAATAGCTTTCTTAAATGAGTATCAGAGGCTTTGTGCTTTAAATACATTTTAGATTATGAAATGTAGCTCTTAGACTAAAATATTAACATGTAGCATTTAAAGTAGAGTCTTAATTGCTCATTGCCAAACTTAATTATATCTCAATTATAATGGATGTGCAGGATTCTCTACAACTCAGAGCCTTCACTGGATTACAGAAAACTTGGCCTTCTGTCATCTGCGAACTACTAGCCTAATCCAGTTTCCTGAATTAGTACTCATTTCTTATGACAAGAATCTGATATTGAACACTGAACATTGATTTCTTCTGCAGTGCAGTTCTAATAATGGAAAAAAGATCTTTTGACTCAATTTTCAGTGACCATACTTTGCCCTTGACAGATTAGAAAGCATTTTAATCACTTTCCTTTTAGTAGGAGTAAAATAAGCAGTGCAAATATAGAACTATTCACATAAGACACTTTAATCCATGGTGCTATATTTAGTTGATTTTTTTTACCTAATATACATCATTTTGTGTCTACTGTTTTTATGCAGTACAACCATAGTAAGAGAAAGACTGTATTTTGATTACCGTATGGGTTTAATAGCACATAGAATGCTTTTAAATGAATTTTACCACCAGTGGCTCAATATTATCTATGAAATTCTGATTATATTAACGTATGATTTTTTTCACATTGTATTTAGTCAGTCATCACTTAAGTAAAAATAAGGGATTATTTCCTTGACTGATGCACTGAATAGTTATTTCTGCATAGCTAATATTTAAGCCACTCTAGCAATAGTTATAAGTATTGGCGTTTGAGACTGATTGATATCTTAAAATCACTGACAACTCTAGTGTTGTTCTACTAGCCACTAATAAAGTGTTTGCCAAAGCAATATATTATGTGTGCAGGGAGTTCTCAAAAATGTCTAATGCTTCATAAATTTCAAGTGCTGTATTTAACTATTTGCTTCAACAAAATGATCTTGAATAGATTGCAATAGATAACAACATGCCAACATTGTATAGTTTATGTATTATGTATATATAGGGAGATTATATTATATAATATATGAATTTTAAATATAAAAGTGTATGTAGAATTTACACCTAAATCTCTGGATACATTTGGGATGCTTAATGCTACTTAACAGGACAGACAGTAACATTCTGAATGAGAAAAAGAAACAGAAATAACTTTAAATCACCTATTGATCTTTCCAAAGTATGGGCATTATCTGGTAATCACTGACAGGAGTCTGCTTATAATGTAGCTGAAGAAAAGGAAAAGAATTCTGTCTGAAAATATGCCTGAAAACTTTATAAGATCTAAATTGATATGTAGCTTAGTAAAATATTAGTCTGTAGTTTTGATTTGAGGTTTATGCAAGTCTCTGAGTATTGTATTATTAATATAGTCACATATATATATATATCATATATGTATATACCATTTACTTTCAGATGAATAGAGAAACAGTGCTTTGTATTTGTGTTTTGCAAAATGTTCTTATATTATTTGATTTAATTCTCACAACAAACCTGTAAAACATTACTTATAAGAAGAATAACATGGTGGTTTACAATTCAGGTACTTGCTCAAAGTTTTGAGGTTAGTATGCATGACTGAGTGGACTTCACATATACTTTGCATTTCACTTTTTCATAGATTATTTATGGTCCTTCATCAAAATAGAAGATTAGAGGATGAGGTCTTAATATCAACCAGAAACAAAAAGGACATTCCAAAAGTTACAGGTGTAATTATCCCTGTAAGCCAGCTGACTATTTGAGTGGCTCTAATACACAGGGAGTAAGAGAGGTGCTCTATTGTCCAGCAGATAATTTGATGCCTTCCACCTTGATGGTAACCCACAGTGTGGTGACTGAATGAACACAGCAGCGAGTGGCGCTCCCATTTCCCGTCATCCTCAAGAGTCCTTCCATTCTCCCAACCACCATGGTGGTTCGTGCAAATCGAACTAGTCACAGTCAACCGAAATAAGGAAGTAGCTTATTTTTTCCTAGCGTATTGAAAAGGATGTTGATGTCATCTTGAACTCCAGGCATGCTAAGTCCTAGATAGGTAAAAAGAGAAAAAGGTGTCTCCTGCACAGTAATAATCTGATACCTCCTCTGGGCTGCTTTCATATGTATTGACGTAAGTATAAATAGTTCAATTTGGAAAGAGAAGACACTATTTTACTGAAAATTTTAAAGATTTAACCCTCTGTTGACTTTTCACAATATTAAACAATACAAGGTACACTGAAATTTTTCATATAAGGTAGATTAACTGATCTGTAGATATCACTATTATATCAACTACTACTTTTACGCTGCCATGTAAAATGTATAATTTTTTTAGACAATTAGATTATTATTTAGTTCACTATACAGGAAAGACCTATGTATGATTCTTGAGTGTCATAGAACTTGTGGGCTAAAGCAAACAATGAATTTTTGCCTGAATTTTTTCTGGATGTCTTACCTCAATTTTCTTTATATTTCATTCAAACAGTTTCTGAGAAACTAATTATGTGACCAATAACTGTGTATAGATAGAATCTTAATACAAGCCGGTAACTTATGTCATTGAAATTTAGCTGAAATATGTCATAAGTGTATGTGATATTATGCTTTAGTATTTATTCTTTAGTGTTTACACATTTTACACAGTTGATTTCCTCACAGCTGCATGACATGTTATGGACTCTAAAGCTTATTCTGTTTACTTTTATGCAACAACTCAAATAATGAAACAGTAGGCATAATTCATAGTACTGTTACATATAGTAACAGTAATCTATAAGTTAGATTCCATAGGTTGTTTAGCTCAGTCTGTTATTCTGTGTATGCACTCGCTTTCTGGGGGTGACAGAAAGAGCAGTGTGCAATGTCCTAAGGAATTTCCAGTAGTTTATGGTAGGGGTCATTCTTCCCTAAACATTTTACTCAGCCTGAAAAGGATCCTGATATTCTTTCAACCATTTCCTTTATGAAATGTTTTATCTCATGATAATGTTTGGTTTGTAATCACTGTTACTTCCGACACTGATTACTCATTCCTAGGGTCCTTGAACTCAGGTATGCTACTGTTTTATGAATTAACATGGTCTGTTAAAATGAGTTCCTTGGAAGTATTATTGTTGTATTATTGTGTATTATTACTGCTGCAGAGTAAGCATCTGCTCAGCTGTTTATTTAGATTTTTGGTCTCATGTGGAATAATATCACAATTTTTGTCTTTCATTTTAATTTATATTTTCTCTGCATTTTTGTTTTGCTTTAGCTTGGTTTCACATTTTTGTGACCCTTGCTGTCATGTAAATATCATTATGGATGAAGAAAGTAAAAACCTTTGGGATATAGAAATGCAGATCTGCTACTTCTTCTTGTGATTGATTTGTTTTCTTTAAAAATATTGAGGAAATTCTTTTTTCACTAGGCTAGTATGTTCTAAGAGATGGCTCATGCATTTTTTTTGTATGATAAAGTATAAGATTCCTGAAGAATTTCTGTGAAAAAATTAAGAAGAAAATTGTATATAACAATCTTCAATCTAAAAAGCTAAACATGTATGCTTTTGTCAGAAAGCATCTGCATAATGAAATACTTTCTCTGTAATAGTGGCAGAAAGAGCTGGAGATCCGAGAAAGAGAAGATGAGATATGTGAAGCCAAAGAACAGAAAGACAAAGAGTTAGAGGAGATAAAACACTTCCAAGAAGTTATGAAGCAAAGAGAACAGAAATTGCACAAGCTGACCAAACCCTATGAGCTTCCTCCAAGGGAGGAGGTAATTTCAATCGAAAAGACAATGACTCACAAAAATAATTGAGGACTACAAGCCAGAAACTGCTAGCATGGAAAAGATCAAGATAGCTACCTATAGGTTAGGAAATCATTCTTGTAATTAATTTGAGGCTTTTTCTGTTTGGAAAGGAGTTGTTATCCTGGTGCAAGCTGTCTAATAGTTCTTGTTTAATCTTACATTAATAGTTAACTCCAAATCCAATTGGAATTCACCAGTTATAAATTTCCAAGACTACAGCTCATGCTTTTCTCAATTGATTCTTCTCCTCTGAAGAATCTTGATCATCATTCTCAGAGTGTTGATTTTCAGTGGGCTGTGTCATAAAAATGAACTGCACATTAATTAATGAGTCAGTGTATAACAATTGTTTCTTCAAAATAGAGTTATCACTGCCTCATACATCTATAATTGCTGTTCCTCAAATAAAAGAACTCATGGTGTCTCTTTGGATTTGCATTTTATAGTCAATTTATCTCAAACTGAACCTTATGTCAGAGACTTGGACTTGATAAATTACTGTACATAAGCAAATCTGGAAGTGTCAGTCACCTCTGATTGGTTTGATCGTTCGTGAATGCTAGAGGAACCCTCTGAGTGACAGTGGTTTTACTTTGCTTGAGGAGTTGATGAGAATGGATTTGTATGATGCTGAAATGGTCAGTACCAATTATTGGAGGCATTCACCCCATCAGGAATTATTTTACAAATGGCACTTCACTTCACCTGAAGCTTTCAAACTACGCAAAAGAGTAAAGTCGTGGGGCTCCTGTGAGGTCTTTTATTCCTTTTCTGAAAAAATACAGATGGCATATTTTCCATTCTTTTCCTTCAAATTTACACACATAGTTTAGTAATAGTCAAGAGACAGGTACCTTACCAGGGTGTCAAGTGATTGCATAGATCAGGGCGTCATCACAGCGTAAATTAGTGAAGGGGGCTAGGGAACACCTAACCTATCTAAAATATTGCCGAACACGACTACATTCTGAAATTTATTTCAAGCATTGTAAGATTGTCTAGTCTTTTTCTTTTTATTATTGAGACAGGGTCTCCTATGCAGTTCAGACTAGCCTTGAATGCACTGTGTATATAGCCTAGGCTGGCCTTCAACTCACAGCAATCCTCCCGTCTCAGCCTCCCATGTGTTGGGATTACAGGGGTGTACCTGGCTGAAGATTATCCAGTTTTTGAAGAATCCTTAAATGAGATATTTTTAAATGGACATTCCTAATTTTTATAATTTTAGAATCTAATTTTTAAAAATTATATACTTTCAGCCTGTATTATATAGATTTGAGGTATGATTCTTTATTTTTCATAACAATAACATGGTAGAAAAAATATTGGAAATAGGTTTCTGTTTCCATTCACTATATGCTGATTCACATGTATTTTTCTTTCAAACCTTTTGTCTTACCATTATGTCCTATTCTAGACACTATGAAAGTTATACCAATAAAGCCTTTCACATTTCCACATTTCTTCATCCATGTCTACTTTATTCATGTGTGGAAAAAAATGTGCCTTACGAAAGACCAGCTCATTTCATTTTTCTGAATCTTTTTTGTTCCAAAATATTGTTTTACGAACTAGACATTGTCTTCTTTGTATCTTCCACAATTTTTCTTAGTATTTCCAGTGTGCTACCATTTTTTATCCTAATGGATTCATACATTTGTTGTAAAAACACTTTTGCTGTCATAGTAATGATGATTTGGAAAAGAGAGGAAAAACTCAAAGTATAAAAAATGATATATGTAAGTGGGAAAGGATAGGGAGAAAAATAAGTAGCAAAGAAGAGATAGAGTATTTCTATATCATTAAATTACTTTTTAAACTTGGAAACACAAATCTCTCATAGATTTTCTTCTATGTCTCTGATATTTCCTGATGTATCAGTGAAGATGGTGCTTATAGATCAAGATGCACATTTCTGCTAGCTATGAAATAGTAGACAAGTTACAGCACCTTTTGAACTTTGGTTTGCTCATTTTATTTAATGAACAAAATTTACGTAAATGTTAACATCAACCAGAAGCTAATTAAGAAAATCTAATGATCTTACCAGAATTTAATGTAAGGAATTGTTTCAAATGGTGTTAGGTGAACTAAGGAAATATAAACTTGGAAATAACATAGAAACAGTCACAGCAGGAAAGTGCTACTGTAGCCGACACCTCTGCCTGGTATTAGCAGGCTAGAGTGGCCCAGGCTTCTTGCCTCTCTGTAATTCAGCTGTGTTACATTGGAAGTAGTCTGATCAGCTAAGCTCACTTTCAGCCAAGGACAACTTGACTGCAGCTAAATTCCGCCCTTCAGACTTAACCATTTGACCTCTTCAGCAAAGATATGTTTGAGCCCTCGTTCTGTAGTCCTGCCTGCTTGATACTTGTCATCAGCAGGTGTCCCAAGGCCTGCCAGTTTCCCCCCTTCCCGCGCCTGTAATGAGTACATACTGGATGTCCAGGGAGTCCTTTGTCTTTGCTGCCCAGAGCAACTTAGAGCAGCCCAAGACTCAGTTTCTCTCAAGTCTCCATCTCTGTGTTTCTTTTAATTCCCCCTTCCCTATCTTGTGGACATTGTACTGGCTTGCGGGTGGCCAGGACCACTGCAGGGGTCTCTGACAACTCCTATTTCCTTTTCCCTATACATGACCACCCCTAGAGCCATGGAATAGAAAAGTGTGGGTTATCAGAATCTAGAGTTTGGAGGAAACACTTCAGTGGTACTCAGATCTGTGGTGAGGGGCACAGTGCATCTGGATCTGGGAGTGCAGGAAAAAAAAAATAGAACTGGAAGAAAATGTCTATTCCTGAAACCACACTCAGAAGGAGGAAAAGCATGAAAAGAATCAACTTTATTCTTCCTCCCCATTCTCCTTCATGTGTTCTTTTTTCCCAGCATCACAAAGCAGAGGAAAGAAGGGTGTGTTTGGAGTTAATACTACTTAAATAATTGGAAAGATTGTGTGTGGCACAATGTCAAGAATGCATTAGACTATGCAATGAAAGGTACATCCTTCTTTTATTTTGCATTTTAGGTCTTCTGTTTTGCTTTTTCTGCAAGTTTTATCAAGACAAAAAAAGATTAAAAAATCACTTTTTAAGTAAATGCAAATGGCTACCTTTAAATTACTGTATACAGAAACTGCACTAGGGTTTATTTCCATAATCTTTAATTTTTTCCTTAACTATTAACAAAAACTCAATTGGATTGCTGTGTAAGTTATATTTAGTAGTAACTTTACTTCAAAATTCTCAAAGGCTTCTAGGAATATCAGGCTGGGTTGGACACCATATGGAATATTTTAGTTACCATTTCTTGATCCTTTTATAGTTTTTCAGCTTTTGTTATTTACTTTTGTATTTTTTCCACTTTAATTTGAAAGGAAGAGGAAAGAGAAAAAGATACTCCAGGTCTAACTGCTCTCTGAGACTCTTATTTACCCTTAAATACCTCTACTTTCTCTCAACCTATCTTGGGTCTAAATCTTTCTGCAGGTAAAACTATTTTCCATGCCACTTTGTCATCTATGTTTGAATAAATCTGTTACTTTGAATGAATAAATCAAGGTTTTCCTACATTCATTTATTGTGGATTCTCTTAGTAACCAAGTCAATTTTTTTCACACAAAATACTTAATGTAACTTTTACGTTTTGGAGAATAAATTATTCATAAAACTTTTAGCTAATTTCATCAGAGTATTGGAAACTGAAAGACATATGTTAGCAGGAAAAAAGAAAAAGTGATAAATAGTAAATTCTGAGTAAGCATAAAAAGCCATTTTCCTTATTTTAATTTTAAAATGAAGACAAATCAAATTATTTATGAATGTTTGTGGCACATACAAGAGATAAATTCAGGGAAGAAAATACCCCAAACAAATAAACTTACTCTAGCATTGGATAGCATGTTTTTAGAAAGAGAGATATAAAAATAGTAGACAAAATAACTCACATCTATAATTTTAGAAACTGTCTTAATGTATAGAAATTGTAATTCAGCCTACTGATTCTTCCTGCTCCTACCACCACAAGCCCCTCTCTGTAACTGTGTACTAGTTAGTTATTTTCTGAATAGTTTTTGTCATGTCATGGATAGTCATTTGCTAGAGAGGCTTTGTGTGTGTTGTAAGCTATTAGGTAGCATCTTTGATCTCTGTGCACTAGATGCCCATAATAGCCCAGCCCCACCCCCAAGCACTCTCTACACTCCCCCGAAAGTTGTGACAATCTGCAATATCCCAGGAGGCAAATGTGTTCCCAGTTGAGAATGATAGCTCCCTGGTTTCACTGAACTTCCAAATTTCAAAGTTAGCTGCCTGAGGGTTGCTTTTGGGTTGCTTTCAAATCTTGTCCAACTGTTCATACACAAAGCTCTATCTGGGCCAGCCAATGGCTCTCAATTAAAATCACCGTGGGTCTCTTGAAGCCTCTTTATTTCTCTTCATTTTTCAATTTGCTGGAGTGGGAACATGAATCAGAACACCTTTCTCTGTTTTACTTGTGATTAATTGATAACTCTTACACCTCCCCATGAACGAAAAACAAAAGAAGATAGGGACATATGAAAATCTGCTCTGCTAGGCCTAGTAATAAATTCAGCCCACAATGCACTTCTCAAATCTAGGTAACCCAGTGAAGGTATACCTATGTGTAAGTTTCCTTGCACCAATTCTAGCTATTTTTCTTACACTGGATATGTTTGGAAACTTAATAGCAAAATGCATTTAAATTACCATTGCCTATAACATAAATTCATGTATGTGTATAATTTTGTAAATTCTGTTGATGATTTGGTTACTTTGGAGTTACATACATTTTTCATGGTGACATTATTTCAAGGATAATTTGGCTCTGATGTTATTCAAGCTCACTTTTTCCTCTATCATTCTAGCTAAGAGACCGATTTACATAATACCTAGTGCCTTTTTATTTTTTTATTACTGCCTCATTGGAAAGCCAAAAATAAACAAAAAGAAATATGTTTCCAAAGCATTTTTAGTTGGAGGACCTTCGTGGTATCTAACTTTTCAATGAGATTTCCCAAAATGACTCTATTTTGAGAAAAGGGAATCCTCTTTTATGAATTAGTGAATAAGGTAGATGCAAAATATCTCAGAATTACCAGTGGAACTTTTTTGTATAATAGACTATTGCAATCCAGTAGTGCTTTGAATCATGCCTCGAATCATGAATAAATGAAAATTTGGATAGGCCAAATCTGTTTATTCCTAGTAACAATATTTTACTTGGCTTCCCAATAAAGTTCCATAATAAAAAACACTGAGTAAAAGACTCACAGGATAG